TCCCTGATTTATATTCAGCTAAGTAAATTGAAAAGGGAAACAAAGTATCACTAATAAATGAAAAATCACTTTGGATTAACAAGTCCACAAATACGGGGCAATTACTGGGAGAAACCTTGTGCTTGATTATTGTGTGTTGTAATTTTCATCTTGATCCAACCAACCTTTGATTTCTTCTAACAAAACGAAGGAAACAAAGTTTTGGATATTTTTCAAGAATAGGAAGGGGCATCTTAGTTGTTTAGGTTGTCTAAATGACTTAAGAGTTTTCTCTCCACTTCGGGAGACTAGGGTTTGAGGTCAAAGCAGGGTAAATAATTTGAGAGGTAGAGAAAATTGGAGATGGAGATCTTGTGCAGTCTTTATCAAACTATAGTATCTCTGCAATCCTTTGTTTGATTGAGCTAAGATTTAGCCTCCAGGTTCAAAACATATCGTATCCCAATCTGCATTATGGAGATCAATATTTGAATTTTTTGCTTTCAATGAGACGTTCCTTTCTTGATGGAATTTTTATATATTCCTAATAAATCTTGTTTTGAGGTTGCTATTAATATATGTCTCTAATTTCGTACTTTTGTGAACACTAGTTTTTCCATTGTGATCAATAGTGGAGGCTTTTAGATGGATTACGCTTGATATTGTCTATCTACTCCGATATCATCTATGGGGTTCAAGCAAGAACGATGAGTTTTGTTTTTCCCATCAAATAAGTCACTAGTAATTCATACTTTAATGGTTCCTGTATGGAAGGTACCACAAACATGCCTGACTAGGATCTTAGAGGTTATGGGTGGAAATTCACATTTTGCAGTGAATTTAAGCAATTCTCAATCTGTTTAATTTAAATTTTGAGCTTTCTATTTTGTTATTCTTGTTTCATTGTTTAACTTTCATGAATCTGACGGATCCAAACAAGACAAGAATTTGATTATGAGAATTTTCACCGCTAAAATGAAGATTACAAAGGAATGAACCTGCTATAAGATAAGCAGATTCTTTATTCATTAATAAAGGGGAAAAATAACAAGAAAAATGGATATTCGAGAGGTTCACACTCTCCCAAGGAATCTCCCAAATTCTGGCTACTTGTAACATGATCCTTTCTCTTATTTATAGTTGGTTTTCCTTGCTAATTGGTGGTGTAATTGTGCTGTAATTGCTGTAATTGTGTACCATTAATGCTGTAATCATTCCATTTGTGCTGTAATTGTGCATATTGCCTTTGTGCTTTTGGTAAGTCACATGGATTGTGGGCCTATCATTACCTCCCCCCATAAGTTTCACCTTGTCCTCAAGGTGAAAAGAAGGAAACTGTTGCTTAATCATGTCATAAGATTCCCAAGTTGCTTCAAGTGGTGGTAGTCCCTTCCATTGTATTAAAACATCCATGTCTCGAATATTGCTACCTAGGCCCGATCGCACCCAAAGTAATGTCTCTGGTTCAACCAACATTTCCAACTCCTCATTCAATTGGCTAGGTACTTATTTCACAGTTTGCACTGCTCCCTCTGCTTTGCATAGTTGGGATACATGAAACACGGGATAAATATTACACGACGGAGGAAGAATTAGCTTATAAGCAACCTGAACAACCCTCTGACCAACTACAAACTCTTTTGCAAGAAATCCGGCCATGGTCATCTTGAAAGAGGGACGTTTCAACCCTTTGAAGTGGATAGACCAACTTAGCCAGACAACAATCACTAGTATAGTATCCAAAGCAACTCCATATCTAGTTGCCTCTACTGGCAAGATGTCCAATTTTTGAGCCTGATGAGTTGTAAACAATTGATAGCTGGGTGCACCATCGATTAAAAATATCATATGGTCAAGATCAATTTGCCTCGAAAACTTTATCATCCTTGGAAGCTCCATTTTTTACTCACCCCCATTTTCGACCTCTAAGAGGTATACTTCTTCTAAATTATCAGCTACCACCAACACTTGTAACCCTCGATTTTCACAATTATGGCCAAGTGGATTTTCCTCGTCACAATGAAGGCATAAACCATTTCCACACTCTTTCAAAGATCCGGAACAGTGAGTTGATTGGGTGGTGGTGATTGCTTTAGTTTATCAAATTTTGGAGTAATGGAAACTAAGTTTTGGATTGAAAATGAAGGGGCTTGGTACGCTGTCTGGGGTGAAAAATAATAAGGGCTAGAATTAACAGTTTGGCTGGAAGTGTTGTTAACATTTGGGTGGTGGTTATTGTTTTTAGGGGTATATGGGCCAGAGTTAGGTTGGGCTCTTTTTAGATACTCTTTTTGGTCCATATCCCTTTGGGATAACTTAATATTTTGGTCCAAACCATGTAATTTAAGCCTTTTAACTTCAGTTTCACCCAAATGTTTCAGCCCATTTTCGCCATTCCCTCCCAAACCCAATCTATGATTTCTTGTGTCGGCATATTCCTGACGGCAGGTGATGGTGGTTTCGGCCAGAATGACTCCCCCTTCTTTCTCCTTTCTCTCCCAATCTTCAATTTCTTCAATTTTTGGTGCAATTTCAAAATTGATGGTGGGCTCTGGCGAAGTGATTGCGACCTCCTTTTTCTTCCTATCCGACTCCTTCTGACGGCACTTAATGAGGCGACTTACTCCAGCTTCCTCCAATTTTGGGAAAATTTTCGAAGTGATGGTGAGTTCCGATGAATTTAATACTGTCCCCTTCTCATGCTTCCCTCGTTCCAGCCCATTCCATCTTCGCGCCATCCTCTCTTTCAAATCTCCCCATGTTCGCATTGGTAGTTTATCCTCAATTGTTTGGGCCAACTCCAACTCCAAAACCAAACCCAATTGTTTGTTCATATGAATTTCAGTTGTGTCTGCCAGCTTGTTACCTCCTACCATTCCACGTGAAGATGAACCAAATGACTGGGATCGTTTCTGTCTTTCTCCTTTCACAGCAACCCCCTGCCTCATCCTTATCATGTTCCTAGAATCCGGTGTGGTTGGTGTTGAAATCCTTCTAATGCTCTTCATAATCTGACAGGCATATGTAGCTTTAGACAATGTAGTTTGTTGATCTTCTGCCGTCACATATGGGTCATGCAGCCCCTGATTTTTATTGTGATGCCCAATTGATTTCTTCTCCCGCCATCTATGGTATAATCCTTTCCCTTGTAGCCTTGGTATCATGGCACCAGATAGTAGTTTGAAATTAGTGGAATCTTGATTTGGAATTTGCAGAACTGAACTGAGAGCTTCACCTTCAAAACATAGTGCCCCCATCTCCAATTTCTCCGCCTTTGTCAATTGATTTACCAGAGAATAACGTTCTGCCCCGAAGATCCAGTCATCTAAATTTTTTTCCAAGAACACAGGCATCTCTAGTTTCCTTCCTTTGAGCTCGGGCCTCCACTTTTCCCCCAAGCCACCATCAACGACCCGACTGTTTGTCTCTATACCTGAGGAATTTTCAGAATAAAGAGCATACTCTGAGTCTTTCCCTCCTCCTTGCTCCTTACATTTTCTCTCCTTCTCCGCTTCCTTCCACTTTGTTCTCATGAAGGTGAACTACTCCAGGATGATTTTCATATTTTTTTCAATATTTTGTACCCTGTGCATTTCCACCTGCATCTTATCGAACCCAATTTGTATCTCCTCCATCTGGCCCTGCAATTTTTGGTGAACCCTTTCCAACTCTCCCACACGATCCGATAAATTCCCCATCCCGATCGTAACGGCTCTTATACTAATTTGATAGATCCAAACAACACAAGAATTTTATTATGAGAATTTCCACCCCTAAAATGAAGATTACAAAGGAATGAACCTGCTATAAGATAAGCAGATTCTTTATTCAATAATAAAGAGGAAAAATAACAAGAAAAATGGACATTCGAGAGGTCCACACTCTCCCAAGGAATCTCCCAAATTCTGGCTGCTTGTAACATGATCCTTTCTCTTATTTATAGTTGGTTTTCCTTCCTAATTGGTGGTATAATTGTGCTGTAATTGCTGTAATTGTGTACCATTAATGCTGTAATTGTTCCATTTGTGCCGTAATTGTGCATATTGCCTTTGTGCCTTTGGTAAGTCACATGGATTGCGGGCCTATCAGAATCCTGTTTGTAGTGGCTTAATTCAAGAGTTGGGCAGTTACTGTTAAATATGTTGAATACATTAATCTGTTCCTCTTTCTGTCTCTGTTATCGTATGACTTCCTGCATCAGCACTATTACAGGAAACACAGGGATTAATACAATTATTTAGTATCGTTCCCTCTGTGACATCGGAGAGTGAAATCTGCCTCATTGAGCTCTAATCACCACTGACTAAAATACCTTCTCAAAAAATAGTGAGAAAATGTAAATGTGATTCAGCATGGATTTATCAAACTTTCATAGAAAGGGGTCTAGTTGTGCTTCAATGATTTAAGTTGGCGAATGCCAACAACAGAACTCATCAGATGACTAGCTTTCTCACAGAATTTCTATGAGATCTCTGGCCACAACTTCGTAGGCACATCCACAAGAACAGTTAATTTTGAACTTTGATAATCAATTGTTTGTATCCAGACCAAATGCATAATGCACGATCAAAACTCAAGGCAAATTCATGGAGGTCAAAAAGAAGTGTGCAATCTTATTTTTTAAGTGTAGGCTAGCAACTTCATAACACGTTCATGGGTCATGAGGTATATCCGGAGAGCCCAGCATTACCTATCAAATATACGTGGCCGGACATGACCCACGCCCATCAATTTCCCTTTGTTTTTTTGTTTGTTCAAAGAGCCATGGAGCCTGGGCCAAGGAGAATGCATAGTACCAAGGAGCTCCTTTCAGTTGGATGGTCCCATGCCTGGATGAGCTCTTTTACTTGGTTATAGTTATGCTGCCACAATTGAATGCTTCATTTATCATTGCTTTCATTTGGTTTGTAAATGTTTTGTTTCAATACATAATCTGGAATATAAGTGCTTGCATGACAACAAAAAGACAATCTTTCTTGTTCTATTCACCTTTTTTTCATCTTGCTCATGTTCCTTTTCAGGTAGCCATACTTTCTGAACTTACATTGTCTAAAAGAGCATCTGAACGGCTGTTAACCATGTACTTCCCCTTTCTTGGGTTTGCTATTTTAGCAATATTACGCGGTCTGACATCTCATTCTGGAAAGACCATGACAATCGGGAAAAGACCCGTGCTAAATAGAAAAAAGAGGGCTTGAAGTCTTACGGTTGTGCACTGAGCTGCTGAGAGTATATTGCTGTCACTAATTCCTGAAGACGTTCCTTTCCTTCTCTGTAGTTGGATAATTTTTGGTTTCGTTATCTAGTTGTAAACAAATTGCTAAAAATTGAGTTTTTATTTTAATTAACTATCAAGAAATGACTTTAGTACCACAAATGGTGGTTTGCTGATTGAGATTGTTGTTAGTCAATATGCTTTGTAAGCGCATTCTTCTCTATTAGTCAATATGCAAAAGCACATTTTCTGATGTGCTCTTACCTCTTGCTGAAGATTTAACTCTCTAAAAGCTTGATTTATCGGACGAGATGGCATAACTTAGTGCTATTAAGACCCGTTACCTTTTAATGAAATTTGAGCACTTATAATGTCTCTGATGAAAATAAATATTATATGCATTGTTAGGCATGTTGAAGACGAACCTAAATATGTTGTCCTAAAGTTGTTTTTCCCTTTCATGTCTTCTCAATTCAATTTTGACATGTACGATACCTTTCCATTTGTCAAGAGGTGTCAAAATTTTAATGGAAGCTGAAGATTATTTAGTGCATAAAAGGAAGATAAAAAACAATCCATATATTGTTAGAACATTTGTCGCTAAATAACTTTTGGAGAGATTTTAATGTTGGGGAGGTCTTTGTGGGGTTCAATTAAAAAATAACTTTTAATTACAACTCTTAGCTAAAAATTTATATAATTTCAGTAACACTCGAAGAATATCGGAACAAGATCGAAGATTGGAAGAACTTCCTAGTTTTTAATAATTTAATAAATTACAACAAACAACGACTACGCCATTAGAAGAGTTTAAATACTAACAAAATAAGAGAAAAGCCTTACGGATGTTAATGCCTAAAATACTCTCACTAAAATAAAAAGCAGAATAGAAATAGCAACTAAACGAATACAGTGATACTAGACATATCAGGTCTTGATGACTCACAGTGTGTTGATGCTTCACGCACTCTGGAACATCCCAACACTCTAGTGTCCAATGCTTATTTTTGTTTAGACTGTGCCAGTTGAACAATCACATGACCAAATAGGGGAGACATGGCCCTCTCTATTGGCCTGTGTTTGCGCGGCAACGGTAACGCCCCTTATTGGGGTGTCTACGCCGGCCAATAGGGGGCGCAATGTCTCCCCTGTTTGGACAGGGAATTGTCCAAGTGGAAAAACTCTTTTTGTTTGAGTCTTAGCATTCCCCGAACACCACTATGTCTTGACTTGTATCAATTTTTCAGAAATAAATGTTATAAATTTTTGTGCCTTGTTTCATGTCTTAGTCTTCTTCTTTTTCTCCTTCTTTATTTATTTATTTTTATTTTTTTAAATGTCATATCATGTCACGTTTCATTTTCGATTTCTGCGCACCCAAGTCAGTCTCGATCTCTCTCTGTTCCTACCTGTCCATGATGAAAATTCAACGATGCGTTTCGGATGCAAACAAGCAACAATCTGTCAAATGGTTCAATGAGTTGGTGGGAAATTTTGGCCTCTCAATATGAACCGCCAATATGCTTTGACAAGTCATATCAATTGACCAAAGTAAATTTCACCTCATTTTTTCATAAACTGCCAAGCATATATTGCAATTCCATTGAATCCTGGCTAGGAAACTGGCATGGAAAATAACTTGTACAAGATTTTACGTCACTAAAATCTTGAATCTTTCCCTTTGGGGGCTGATTTTAAGCACGTTGGGCCACTCTCTCAAGTTTTTTCTTCAATTTGGAGCCACAATTTCAATGAATATTTTCAAGTACAATTTGACCAATGCTTGATGTCGACGTATAATAGTATCAAAGCAACCGAGTTTTCTGCTCAAATATCCCACTCAATGTTAATGAAAGTATCACGAATCAAAGTTCGAAAATTTTCTCATGCACATAGGGTGAATTGAATAAATAAATGTAAATTAAAATTATATCAATAAAATCTTGATCTGTGGGGGGTGATTTTAAGCTAGATGTGTCAATATCTCAAGTTCATTCTTCACTTTGGAGCCATAAATTCAACGAATATTGTTCTAGTAGAATGACAAAGATGTAGCTGGTCTTAAGAGATTTGACAAATGCTAACGGACAAACTTGGTATATGTTAAATGTAAAAATAAATAAAATAATTTAAACCGTTGGTTTAATAGATCATATTATAAAGAGTAATCAAAGATCATGGACTCAACATCTAACTCAACGTCAATAAAAGTTTCACAAATCAAGTTTACGAAGAAAAATATTTTACCTCTAATAAATTAAGTTTTTAGACACGATAATCATTGTGTCTTCATCTAAAAGTATAAATCGTTAAAACGTGACAAATATATTTGTTTAAATTATTTTCAACACTTCCTCTAACATTGAAGCAATATTCATATTTTCTATTCTGCGTACATTTTCTTTCCTCAGTTCCATACTTCCTTTAAGGAGACAAAATTGTTGATTATTCTTAGTATTTAATTCATATAACTTCATATAAATACAATTTCATAAAAATTATGATTTAATTGATATATTAAAAATATTTTTTGAATTGAATTAAAATTCGATTATGTAATTAAAACTAGAAACAAGAACAAAATTGTCGGAGTTATGAGTATTCAATTCAACACAATGCTAGAAAAACAAAGTACCTAGATCGATCCATAATCGATCAATTGTTTCCAATTCGATTCTTCCCTTTTGTCGAGTTTACGAGTATTCTATTTTCACAATTTTCAATTAGAATTGGCTAAGTTCGGTTCTAAAAAATCCAAACAAGATCACACAGTGTCTACCCTAAAGTTGAACTAGTTTAAATGTATATGGCATATATACTTGAAATATTCACCTTCTACCACTCCTTGTTCAATTCGCGAATTCATAGAATCCTGTATGAATTTAAATTTATTTATTCAAATGTCATATATAATTTTTATTTTAGTTGACCATGACTTAAATTTTATTAGTTCTATTCTCAACTTTATGTTTTGAAATTTCTACGTTAGCTATTTAATCTTGTTTTAATAATTTTTACAAAAAAAAAAAAAACGTGTTTTTATTAAGATGGAAAAAATTGGACCGTCGAAATGCATTTATCACAAGGTTTATAAAACGACAATTGTATCATACCATAATTGAGAAACTCAAGGTGGGTGAAAAATGAAAATGACACCTCTCAATTATTTTGGTGCTTGAAGGATTCCAACTATTGATATGCAATGCAAATGTATCCTAAGATATTTGAGGTAATAATTGATAGATTTTTATTTTAAGAAAAATGTGTTGCTCTTGTTTCAATTTAATTTATATTTTAAGCCTGCGGAATTTTTAGTAGTCGGGCTATCGAGGTTTTATCGAGCATATCTTTGATAAGTAATGTTTATTTTTTCAATTACACGATTCAAAAATTGTAAAAAAAGGAAATGTCCGGGATGATCTCAAGCTAAGAACCTAGCTATATACATAAGAAGAAAAGATTTATTGTGTACTATATTTTAGATTGTATTATGATATATTGTACTTTGTGATTTGGGGGAAATACCATGAGTCAACAATTTTTGACCATTATATTTATTTTTAGTAAAATATATTCATTTTTATTTCTTTTAGTCAATTATAGGACACTATAAAAGATTGCACTTCATCGTTGTCAAATTAATACCGTCATTTTTTAGACAAGCAAAAAATCGGTCGCTGATAACCCATATCTGGTGCAAGAATAACCCATTGGAAATCACCAATGTCTAACGGTCCGTTGGATTGAAAACTCGGACAATTCGTCAATATTCTCACAAAAAAGTGATGAACTTTGTCTATTGAAAATTGGACGTCGTCTATAGAGCATTTTCTAGTTGTGGAAACCCACAATTTGTTATTATTCTTTCGGAATGTGTTGCCTTGCAAATAAAAAAACCAAATTCGAATGAAATATGTATTAGTACATTTGTATGAATACAATTTCAAATTGTATACTACTATAATTTCAAATATATGGGGGAATATTCCAATAATTCCAATATAGATCATTTCTGGTTGGGTTGCCTTTTGCGACCTGTTGACGGGCAGCAAATGACAACTAGCCCTCATAAGCGTGAGAGGTCGGTCACTCCCCTCCCCTCACCCCACGCCACCCCACCCCCCCACCCCACCCATTTGTATGAATACAATTTCAAATTGTATACTACTATAATTTCAAATATATGGGGGAATATTCCAATAATTCCAATATAGATCATTTCTGGTTGGGTTGCCTTTTGCGACCTGTTGACGGGCAGCAAATGACAACTAGCCCTCATAAGCGTGAGAGGTCGGTCACTCCCCTCCCCTCACCCCACGCCACCCCACCCCCCCACCCCATTTTCTAATCATATGCAGCACAAGAATTTGCCCTCCAAAACTCATTTTTCATCCTTTATTCCCAATCAAGTTGTTGGGAGAAAATGTGAAAAGCCAAATGCTTCAGCCTGCAGAAAGCCTTTGTACATTTCAGCTGTAACTGGATTTGGCTATGTTGGTGAGCCAGAGAATTCGAAACCTCGAGACACTACTATCCAGTGCAATGCGTACGAAGCTCATCGAGCGCATCCCTTACCGATTAGCATCGAATTCGATCAAGAAACCCGAGAGGCCGCTGCCCAGAAGATTAAGATTAGTGTTTATTTTGCTACATGGTGGGCTCTAAATGTTGTGTTCAATATCTACAACAAGAAGGTCCTCAATGCCTTTCCATTCCCGTGGCTTACTTCAACTCTATCTCTAGCTGCTGGCTCTCTTATCATGCTGGTTTCCTGGGCTACAAAGATTGCTGAGGCTCCAAAGACTGATTTGGAGTTTTGGAAAACTTTGTTACCTGTAAGCAGACAAACCCTTTTACTTCTCATCTATATCCTCTTGATTTTCCGATCCTAAATTTTTTGAGAATGAGGCTTAATTTGTTTGTTTTGGATTAGGTTGCTGTGGCACATACGATTGGGCATGTGGCTGCAACAGTAAGCATGTCAAAGGTAGCAGTTTCATTTACACACATTATAAAGAGTGGTGAACCAGCTTTCAGTGTTTTGGTTTCAAGATTTCTACTTGGGGAGGCTTTTCCGACATCAGTTTACCTTTCTCTTGTGCCAATTATTGGAGGCTGTGCCCTTGCTGCTGTCACTGAGCTCAATTTTAATTTAATAGGTAAGAACACCAAGCCCATTTAGCATGTTTGATATGTAAGACCAAAAATAGAACTTTGACTATTCCATGATTTTAATCAGAAATTTAATCATTGTTCCTTGTTTGTTCAATCCTATTTAGAAGTGGGAACAAGCTTAACTCGATAATTCATAAATTTGATCATGTCCATAATTTGTCAAGTCTTGTTTAAATTTTAAATGATAATCGGCAAATTTCATCACATACTATTGTTCCTTGATAAATTAGATGTATTGTGTTCTACATACTAAACGTGTCAATATCTTTATTTAAGACTAATTACTATTGTTCATATGATTTCAGGGTTTATGGGGGCAATGATATCAAACTTGGCATTTGTGTTTAGGAACATATTTTCCAAGAAAGGCATGAAGGGGCAGTCAGTGGGAGGGATGAATTACTATGCTTGTCTTTCAATGTTGTCTTTGCTTATACTTACACCCTTTGCAATTGCTGTGGAGGGTCCCCAAATGTGGGCTATTGGGTGGCAAAAAGCTGTTTCTCTTATTGGACCAAATTTTGTTTGGTAAGCAAAATAAATGATTATTTTCATATTTTCAGCTTATACTTATAAGCTTTCCTTTCTAATTACTCATTTTTGTGGCATGGTAGGTGGGTGGTGGCCCAAAGTGTGTTCTATCACCTCTACAATCAAGTTTCATATATGTCACTAAACGAGATATCCCCATTGACATTTAGCATTGGGAATACGATGAAGAGAATATCTGTCATAGTGTCATCTATTATTATCTTCAGCATCCCTATTCAACCAATCAATGCCCTAGGAGCTGCTATTGCAATCTTGGGCACTTTTATCTATTCTCAGGTACCTTCACACGCCCTTCTCTGAGTTCCCTACCCAAAAATTTTATGAGTTAGGAATTTACTGTCTCGAACTTGCTCTAACATTTATCTTTCCTGAAATGCATTTTTTACACACATCGCCATTTCTAAGTAATTAGGAAGGGACCGAGTTGCCTTGTGTTTAGATGTCAAAAAATATGCTGACGTCTTTCCATTTCCTAAAAGAAATTGATGTTTTGATGTGTCAAAAAATGAATACGAGGGAAAGCAAGTTCGGCACAATAGACTTTCAATACGACTACTTAACTTTAATTTGTTCCAAATTAGTCACCCATCGAAGTTTTACCCTATTATGTCTTTGTTGTATCTCGTGTAGAATTTTTAATTATTTTTATAAAAAGTTCAGGACAAAATATCTTAATCAATTCTAACTTTACATGCAACTTGTAACATGTGCCCATTCTTTTTGTCATCACTTGAAGCTATGCTGTACTAATGCTACAACTAAATTTATTGCTCATGGAAATTGTCCTACATAAAATGTAAAACTTGCTTATGGGACAATAATATAATTCATGAAATAACAAGAAAAATTGTCAAGAAGTAAATATTTTAGCAAAATTAATTCGTAAAATCACAATGTTTTAAGTGTATTTCGTGTTTGAAAGTGTTAATGGTAAAGTCTTGAAAGTTTTAATGGTAATGTCTCATCTTTTACTTTTATGCAGGCTAAACAGTAAAAGCGCAAGCAAAGGTTCACATGGATATCTAGTTCGTGATAGAAGAAAATCAGTGCTGATTGGTGATCATCACACCATTCAATGTTGAAACAACTATGCTCGATTGCTTAACTCTAAGAACACATTATTTAGCCTTTCTATGGGCTCCGAATTTAGAAGGTTGACAGCTATTTGAATAGTCGAAGGTTGTAGAGCATTTATTACTTTGCGGGCTTGTTACCATAACATGTCATGTCTTAAATATTTGTTTCATTTAGGAAGATTAATCTTGGAGAAAGTAAGACTAGAAATGGGTGAGGTATGTATGTAGTTATGTTGTATAAATCTCTCTCAATGATAAACATTATTCTTAGCTAATTCATTTGCACTGAGAATGATCAATCTGATGAATTTTGGCAATCGTGAATCTCATTGTATCTCGTTTTTATGTCTCAGTTTAATCATCGTATTTACTTGTTCAAAGTTGAACTATTGATTATTTTTATATTAAGATATAAATCTCATATAAATTATAAATAAAATAGATAATTAAAATATAAGAATTCGAATTACTTCCCTTTATCAAATTAATAAAGACTATGTTGGTATTTTTGTTCTTATTTTTTAGTTTATTAATGAGACCCTAAATGGACTACGAGGGGATTACACCTATTAAGCCATGGGTTATGCTACACATGCATAACGATATACAAATACATGATGTGGTAAAATATGATTGGATCAAAATCTTTTAATATTAATATTACTAAAAATATAAAATATATACCATCCCCCAATCCAATTTAGTCCCAAACCCTAAAATTCATTTCTCTCCATCTTCTCCCTTCTCACTCTCTCCATCTAACCCACACCTCCGGTGCCACCACACCCGTTGTCAAAGACCATTGTTAAACTTAGCGACGGTCATTCACCAGGGAGTCATGACTACTGATAGCTTGCTTAGGCTGAGGCCGTGCTGGTGGTATATGACCAAACATTTGGTGTATATAACCAATTGGTTGATTAATCTGCTACCAACAATTGGGTTATTTGTAACCAACTATTTAATTGTCATCTTAAAATTCGATAATTTGTGATTGAAAAAAAATGTGACCAACTATTTTGAAAATCTATGATTCACGAATAAATCTTACCTATAATTTTTTTGATTTGTGACCAATGAAATAAATGTGTGACATATCAAATTTTTTTATTGTAACTATGGAATAATTTATGTCGAATTAATTTGATAATATATAACGTTGTGATCTATAAGTAAGCATCTACGAGTCTATGACCATTATTTGTATGATTGTGATCTTAATATATTTAATTAATGAAATATTTTTAATTAATTAATACCCGAGTTTTAAATTTTGAAACTTAAAACCTGACAATTGATTGCCCACCTACTTAATTGAATTTTTCCCATTGTCATATGTCAAGCCTCCAATACAGGGGAGCCCGTGCCCAACAAAAGAATATTGTCTTTTTAGTGAACCACTAAAGAGAAAGGAAGACCGGGCCCAAGAGATGAAATCAACTTTTTTAACCATTCAAAAAGAGAAAAAAAATTAAATTTTTATCCTCTCTCACGATAAGGGTAATTCGAAGAACTATTTCTTAAAGGAGGAAAGTTACACTTGAATAAATATATCAATTGGGATGAAATTTCAATTTTCTACTAGTGTTATAAAAAATAAGCACTAAACTTAACAATGTGGACGTTAAGGAGGAACCTTCAATGATAGCTGAATGACGTGTAGATTCCAGTTAATGGTGATGGCTAGAAAGTCTACCGATCTTATCATTTTCGGCCATAACTAAAAAATTGTACATTAAAAGGCATGCCCATAAAGAACATATCCTTTTCACAACCTCTTTCAAATTTCACAACAGTCATGCTAAAAAAATAAAATACCTTTTTATTTCTATTAAAAGAATTTTTATTGTCTTGAGCGCGACTTTGGCCTTGGGACTGCTCATTAACGCAAATTCTGAGCTAGGGTTTTATTAAGAATTTTGCTACTCTGTCAGGTTGAATTTTACAGGGTTTGTACAAGTAATTCAAAATGGGTGTGGATCCCACGTGGGGCGCACCCCAATAAAAAATGGTCAAAAAAATATCCACCCCTTGTATGTGTGTAACCTGTACAAACTCTGTAAAATTTCAACCTGACAAAGTAGCATTTCTCTTTTATTAATCAAATATGCTATACTTACGCTCTTTTTTGACATCACTTTTGACAGTCCTCTTACATCACACGAGTGAATTGTCAAGCAGAGTGTACAAAGTATAATTCTTTATTAATTGGCAATGTGACCTTTTATCTTAAAGTGGAATTGAAGTTTCTTGACATTTTTCTTGAATATTTTAGTCATATAGTATTCACTAATTTTCTATAAAATAATTTTAAGCAATCAAAATATATGGCTTTGAAATCACTGCAATCAATTTACAAATCTCACTTTAAATATAGAAACAAAGTCGATTACTCCATACCGATTTGTTAAGTATGCTAGTTTAAGAGGTCATATTAAGTATTTAAGGTCTTATCAAGCATCAAACCCTTACTAAAAATGTCACATTTAATGATTTTATCACTTTATTGACATTAAGCCGCTGTTTAGTTTAGTGTAGATTAAAACCAAATTTTTAGTAGATTTTAATAAAAGTGAATGATATGTGTGATTAAAATGTTGTGGATTTCATGAAATACATGATTAAAATCAATGGTTATTTTGACTTGAAATTTGAATTTGATTGTAATCGAAATTAAACTAAGTCTAGGGAAGATCTATATTGTGAAAGTATTCCATTTGAAAATGGAAAATCTCATTTTCATTGTGGACGGCAACATAATCCCTATGAGTAATGCTACTTGCAGTCTCTCATTGTCATAGTCGTCCCACGTGGCATACATGTGACGGTTAATTATTTGATTTGATACCTTATAAATCAAATCACTAACCACTACATGTATGTCACGTGAGACAACTACGATAAAGAGCGATTACGAATGACATTATGCTAATCCCTATTTCAACCCCCTTTTTCTCCCTCATTGTTGCCAAATTGACACAACCAACCATAAATGAAGACAAATAAGAAGTTTTAGTATATTCTTAAAATAAAAAAAATGAAAATGAAGACAAGTAAGAAGTTTTAGTATATTCTTAAAATAAAAAAAATGAAAATGAAGACAAGTAAGAAGTTTTAGTATATTTTTAAAAAAAAAAAAATAAAAAAAAAAAAAAAAAAAAAGAGGAAAAGAAGCACTACAGTTTAGGTCCATTTAGTGTCATCATGGCTTGTAAAAGAGCAAAATTATTAAAATCTTTTATTATTATTATTATATTTGTCAATCATATTTAACAATAATAATTAATACATTTAACTGCCTAACCACTCCTGCCGGCCCACAGAAACTAGACATTGTGGTTGCCCTTTTTCTATAATTTGACATTATATAACAGCCTTTGGCCATGTACAAAGAACTACCTTATAAAAACCCTCTAACCTTTTCAATCCTCAACCACCTCCAACCGCCACAAGCCACCGTGCAACCGCCACCAACATGGAAGGCCCTGTGAGTTCATTAATTAAAAATCAAGTTTTTTCAAATGAAAGAGCTGATGCATCTGAAGAGAGTGGTTGGACTGCTTATTTAGAGGATTTTTCATTAAACCAAACAAAACATAGTCCTTCTTCATGTTCTTTGGATAGCTTTGGGAGCCCTTCTTTGGTATCTGATGCTGCATGGAACGGGTCCAAAAACAATCAAGTCGGGCCGTGTTCTTCGTTATTTGGCTCACAATTTCCTAAGAGATTGAATTTCAAGAATCATAGGATGAGTAAGAAAATATCTTGTGATGATTTAGAGGATACAGCTAGTTCTCCTGTCAACAGCCCTAAGGTGATCAGATGAGTTTAAATATAAAAGTACTGTAGCCCTTTAGATTTCTCGATCGATGGTGGCCCATAATTTCGATTAATCATTTCTTTGGATAGAAGAAGGTATCTCTAACCAACTTTGCTATTTATACAGGTCAGTAGTAATTGGAAACTAGTGGATACCAACCACAGAAGATCAGATGATAGTATAGCCGATTTAGTGGTGGTAAGAATATTTTTTTGGATTTCAGCTTATTTTCGTGTTGTGCAATTTATACTTATTGAAAAAGCAATCATCGTTGTGTATCGGATTCTATCTTTGTTGTCTCACCTAATATATTTCTTTTGGATGCTTCGATTCTCTAGGGTAAACAAGATGGCTTCGATAATTCATCTGAGTTTCAAAGAAACAATATGAATATTGCTGATGGAAGAAATATTGAAGGAATGGACCTCCAGAAAAAGGGATTGTGTTTGATGCCTATGTCCGTGTTCGTAGACTATCTTGGCTGACTAAACCCTCCTTCCCACACTCTTTTCCATCTCGCTATTAAGATATGGAGTTTCATCTCAAAAGGTCAACCTTCATAAAAGTTTTATTTCCTTTTTATTAGACGGGCTTTTAACATCTGCGCCACGCCCTTTTGTGCACAGGGCAATTTATGTTGCAAAACTCAATGTATGTTGTAAAGAAAAATCTCTCTGGTATTGTAAGTATACAATGAAACCAATGCAAGTCTGTGACAACTATTGAAAAAGCAAAGTTTCATACCCAGGTTTACCTCTTTCAAGCATGGATTATGTAAAATAAAATATGTTTTTTAGGGTTTGTAGACATAATTCAAATAGATAAATTATTCATTCATTCAATATTAGCATTGGAGCGACCACAACTTACTTATTTTTGAAAAATTTACAAATTAAATATTTAACAAATAAATGAATATGACCTAATACTATGAGACGGTTTGGAAAATAGTTTAAATAAGTTAACCGAGCTAAATTTAAATAAAATAGTTCGACATTTTATAACATCTCAAGTTTTAAATGATCAGGTTCAACGCGAGTTCAAATATCACTTTTGTGGCATCACTTAAAGATAAAGATTGGTCTTAAACTTTTAAAAAAGTTAGTTTAATAATATTTTCATTTGGTTATCACCACCTAATTTTTTTTAAAAAAATGAAAAAAAATAAAAATTGATAACGTATTTTTTATGTGAATAAAGGAGGCCATATTCAACCGTCGAATCTAAATAGGTACAAATTCTTATGCCCACAAAGCCATAAAAAAAAAAACCAATAATAAATTAAGAGGGAAAAAGGATTTATTAATTAGAAAATTAGAAAAAAAGATTCGAGGAAAGTGTATTGCAGGCTATATATATACATTAATTAAAATAATTTATTGGTGTCCGATTCGGGTAACCAATAGTCAGGTACCCTTCCATGTGCATACTCATTAATTCAGGTCTATATTTGGGACCTAAGTGAAAAATAACTTGAAAGGGATGTTGAAAAGATTATTGTCAAAGTTTAAAAAATAATCAGGCCAATATTATCGATTAAAGAGCTAATAGCATGCATGATCAGACTTTAACTCTGATCAAACTGTGAAAAAAAAAATGTAAAGTGTAATTAGATAGCAAGACACGTTTTAAGTTTTTACGAGCCTAATTGAATCTAGACGAAGTCTAAGTATGAAAAGAATAAAGCATTGCTAGATGACAAGACAAGCTTATCGTATATGTGCACTTTTTAGAACAGTGATTGGAATGCGTGTATGAACGTATTGAATATTAGATCGTACGACAATAGTAGCATATAAATGTTGAGATAGTTATCAACATCCAAATGTTGAAAATTTGGTAGACAAAAGCTTAATTTGGGTTGACTTACATTATACTACGCACATCACGCATTTTTCTTTGCTAATCACAACTTTAAATCATCATTATACAAAGATAATAATAGAAATGTATTATAAAGTAACAGGCAAATGTTTTTGTGTCTAATGATATTCATTGAATGCAGAATTTAATAATTTGGGAATATTGCATTGTTGGTTCCATCTATGTTTGGGTTTGGCTCATATTTATAGATGGTTTACAAATTTTTAAATCACTTTTTAATCATATATTTCGAGAGACGTACAAAACCAGTTATTTTGATGGTTAAAAGTCATTATTTCTTTAAGAAGCGATTGTAACATTATTTTTATTTTTAGAAATACAAAATAAATTAAAATTGACAATAAAAATGAAAAAGAAACAAGAAAAAAATAATAGCAAACAAAACCTCGAACCACACCTCCTTCCCTACGTGTAACATCCCAGTTTTCATAATTTTTCAAGAAGTTTTGGGAATAAAATATGATTTTTAGGAAGTATCTTTTTTTTTATATTGTTTAATTCAGTATAACAAATACGACCTAAATGGATCGATTAATCAAATGATGATACCGTGGAAAAATAGAATTGTCGACATAAGCTCCTCCATGACAGTGATGACCTAAAAATGTTTTTCTCATGTTGCCCTTCCGGTGCTCAAGTCAATATACTAACGGGTAAGGAAAAGGGCAACATAAGTTACATTAAGTAAAAGTAGAGAAATGATGCATTGTAACTATCTTTACATTTTTTCGTAGGCAATCCACATAATGACAGGATTTGTTAGCGGTGAACACAAAGACGAATATTATTCCGATATTGTGGAGTAAGCTATGTTGCAATTGTTTGATAGCAAGACAACCGTTGTCCTCTTTTGAGACTCCATTCGAGTCTCAAGTACATCTTGACTCTTGTATCACAAAATTTAAGATCAAGGGGCTCGAAGGTGTCCACTATGCAGCGCAGAGATTTCCAATCAGCCTCATATCCCTTTCGACGACTTTGGCGTAATATTTGTGTAGGTTTTTTGTTTTTTTTGTTTTTTGTTTTTTTGACACTGTTGACTTAGTATCAATAGTAAAAAAGTTTGTTTATATTGTGACAAAACTTGTATTAAGATACTTGAGCGTCTTCAACAAATATTAGGCACGTTGAATTATGTACTCTTTTTAACCATTAGTTTCTAAACGTGTTTTACACATTGTATGTATGACAAATGAATTTATAATTTGAAAAATGTAATTATTTCAATTATAAGATCTTTCAATGTTTAACATAGTCGAACCAACTCTCTATAATTAAATGCATTCAAAATATTTTAATTTTCATTGCTCTATGTATTAACCTAATTAAATAATACTCTATCCGTCCCATTTATATAGGTTAACTTTCCTTATTTTCTTGTCCCAATTATACAATCATGTTTTTTTATTGAGAATGTTTTATTTTGTTCGTTTATTAATATACATTTATTTAATTTGCCTAATTATAACAAATTTGCCGAGTTTAATTTTGAAATTGTACAAATATAAATAAGGATAGATTAGAAAAAAATTTTGGCAAAAATTACTTTTTCAATAATATTGATTAAGATTTCTTAATCCGTATAAATAAAATTAGCCTATATAAATCGGATGGAGGGAGTATATACAAAGAAAATGGCAAAAATAATATAATAATTTTGAGAGAAACTGGTGAAAATAAAAGATTGAAAATAATAATAAATACAAATTGATAATAATAAAATTAAGTGTTAAGGATATAAAAAGATCGTTGGAGTATTTAAAATTTATAAAGGATAAACCTATTTGTCCAGGCCCTCAAACAAGGGCAGCTACTTTTCTAAACAAAGACAAATTCTGGAAAAAACTAACTAAAAAAATCTCCATTAATTTAAATGATGAAATTTGGTCACAAAATATGTGGGCTCAAGCACTTGAGTTCGGCTGAGAGAGTCATTTTTGTTCAATTAGTGATATTATTCATCCAATTTCAACAATGTTGATTGAGTCGATCAACATTTTCAATTGCATCATAGACTATCTTATGCTTGCGGTAATTTCAAACACAAATGTACAAAATACATATATTTTTTTCACAAAGGAAAAAAAAATTGTTTGGATTGGGTCGATTTATTTTGTTTATTTACTTTTTTTCATACTTGTACATAATGCAGTGTCCATAATGACATCCATCATCTTCAAATGAAGGGGACCCATTTCGGATAAAAGAATCTTAATATAACTCCTACTTTTAAATATCACATTTCATAAATATCAAACTCATTAAAATATTTCAAAAATCAGGTGGTAAATAAATTTATTAAATAGAAATTTCGGAACTATGGACCTAGTTGTTAACCATACCAACTTAACTGTAATCAAAATTGTATCAGTTTGACTGTCTATGACCAGATCAATCCTAAGTCACAACTGGTCACGATCACCAAAAATAGAATCACCACATATTAGAAAATCACCGACACTGTAAAACACCAACAACCATCCCAAAACTCTGGTTAAACAAAATATCCGATAAAAAACCACCCATCGCTAAAAATTTGTTAAAACTATGGTGATTCCATCTCCTTCATTACCAAATCCAACACCAAAATCAATTTTCTCTCCTCCACCACCCATGAGCTCATCTCCACTATTCAATCACTCATAGACTCATAGTCATCACCACCACCACCTGACAGCTTACCAACACTTTCAATTTTCTCGCCACCACCCGTGAAGCCACCTCACCACCATCGAAGCAGTCTCCGTTACCTCTAGTAATCTATCCATCACCACCTGTCCATCCATTGTCCCGTCGCTTGAATTTACATCTGAAAATTTCTAGTTGGACTAGAGATCGATTTGGTGGTGGTGGTGGTGGGTATTGTGTAGTGACACATAGAAAAAAGGGAGAAAATGAGTTGGGAATGAATTGGGAATAGGGTGGGGTTGGGTAAATAAGTAGATTAGGTTTAATTAAATTTTTATTAATTGCAATTATTAAAATTTAATTATCACCCAATTTGTGAAATGAAAATTAATTCCCTTGATTTATGAAAATTAATCTTTAAATGTAGGGTTCTAGGTAATTCTCTCGGATAAATTATATATTTTTTATTTGAATGTGTCCTCTATCATGTGAGTGGTGGATACCGTTATGAACACCCTAATGTACGTGTAGTATAACTTTTTTTTTTTTTTAAAACCTAAAACTAACCCGATATGATCAGTTTGATTTTACTCAATTAATGGTTTAAAGTTTAAAACCAAACCGATCAAGTTTGGGTTTTGAACCAACTAAAGTTGGATCCAATTATTTTTTTTGTTAAATTTGGATAAATTTTTCAAATTTGAAATTACTTAAAAAATCTTTTTTTTAAATACCTATATAAGGAATTTCTTCTGGAAAATAATGTATAAATAAGTTTAAAAATGTATGAAGCTTTATTTTATTTTATTTTTTTTACAATTTCTTGGGATTTATCTATTTTACTATCATGTTCTTAATTTGTACTTTATTATCAAATAACATTTCATTTATATGCAATGTTCATGTGAATGAATCTATATAAAGAAAATGGTCGTTTATAAATTATAAGCCCTTCTCGTATTTTTACCATTGTGTTAATTTAAAATTTTTTTTAATTTTAAATATTAATTTTTTAATTCATCAGATTGGGTTGGGTTTAGTTGAGTTGGGTTTTAAATCATATTTCATGACCCAAATCAATCCAACCCAACCTAACCCAATTCAACTTAAAAAATAACCCAAACCAATCGATTTGATTTGAATTGATCGGGTTGAGCGATTTGGGTTGGATTTCGCACATGCCTAATTTCTGTCTTGCCCAATACAAGATGTATCCAACCTCATTTTTCTATATACAACTTGGCTCAATCACATACAATCCATCTATCATTCCGAAGCTGGGCTCCAATTTCGTTCCTTTTTCAGTCCTCCCTCTTAAATCTTAAACAAATATATTATTACATAATGGTAATAACTAGAATAAGGCTAGTGATTCCAAATTTTGCCTCTTTATTGGTAGTTTGTGACCCAAACTTTTGGTAAAAACCAAGTAACGCCTAAGAGATAAATAAAAGGATTTCATTCGTTATTTTGGTATATTGTTGAAGTAACGCCTATCTTTATTAAATTCCAATTGATCAACAAAGTTCCCTTTCTATTATCGCCGGCCTTGCACAACATTGTACCACCAAACATAAATAAATATTACATACGTCACCAACGAATTACAGCACCGAATAATGTTAACTTTCCCTCTCTGTCCAAAACCCACCACCTTGAACTCTCTCTGATACTTGTTTCATCAAGATGAATGACCTTCTCACGGTAAGAATACAATTTGTTTATACTGAATTTTGTTTGTTTTTTCACTTATTCTAGTAGATAGATTACTCTTTGGTTAATTTGCTATTGGAAAGTTGATATAATATTTTTTTGGTAAGCATCGGGCTTTTCTTAGAGCAGGGTTGAAGTTTAAATTTTTAATTGATATTGAATTTGATCCTTTTTTAGATAAAACCCAATTTGATATCTGGAGTTTGAATTTCTAATGATTTTTATTTTCCAAGAAAGTGCATAAATATCGAATTTTTATTTATTAGTAGTGCCTTGAATTATGCTATCAGTGATTAGTTGTTTTTATGTCTTAAAATTGTTTTGAAAAGAAGTCTCGAGTCTTTTTTTTTCCAATGAATTTTGTTGGATGATTGTGCTTTGTATGAATTCAATTAGTAGGTGATGTTTCCATATTTTGTTACTATCATGGTTCTATTGATTGAAATTTGTAATACTATGATCACTCCAGCTCATATTTTAAGGATTTTCAGGATTCATTCGTCGGGGATGCCAAAGGCAGTCCTCTGAGAGAACCTGATATTGAGATGGGCACCCAGTATCCCAGGAGTAACTCGGATGTGGGAATGGAAGGATTTAATAAGCAGGTATATTAATATGCCCCTTTTATACTTTCTTTACATATAGTGTTTCATTACTCAAGCTTTGCGATTCATTTTAGCACTTTTATCCATCATTCTTGTAGGTACAAGAGGTTGAGAAACAGGTGGATAAACTGTCTGGTTTACTTACAAAACTTAAGGTATAAACGATACTCATATCAATACTTTTCTCTCAGTGATGAATGAAGATAATTAAAAGTTATTTTCTTTGTACTTTTTTTTTTTTTTTTTTTAAATCTATTGAACCTTGTTTGACCATCTATTTTTTAGAATAGATGCATGATTTCTCTTGTGATCTTCTTCTTCTTCTGTGTTGTTTTCTTCATGCTCAGGCTGAATGCACATCTTTACTTTCTTCATTTGCCTTTACGGTCGTGTTAAAAGATCTTGATTATTAGTTGTATAAGAGATGAAATGCTACTTGTCGTGATTCTTAAGTGAAAATTTTCAAATGGCTAAAGATGCTGATGCAATGCTTCTTGTGGTGTTGCTTCTCCTCGTTTTCTTCTGCAGCTGCTTCTTTCTTGGAGGCGCTGTTTGGGGGTGCATCAGCATTAGCATCACACTTAGAATCTACTTTAGAAATATAATTTTAACTTGCTAAAACTCAGTTGTCAATGTTAAAGGAATTTAAAACTTATTATGACAAAACTGATGTTTAATGTATACCTTCCAAATTCTGAGAAGCATAGATCCCAGTCTTTTGGATATATGAGAAAAGAAGTGTGAAATCTAAGCCCCTGTTTGATAGTGACTTTAATTTAGATATTTATCCAAGTCAAAGTCAACAATTTATTTTAACCATATATTTCATGGGTCCCACATCTTTTTAACCACGCACTTTATCAATTTTATCAAAATTTGCTAAAAATTTGATTTTAATCTCCACTAAGCAAGGGCTAAATTACATTCAAAAATCCCTCGACTTCGTTTTTTCTAAGTTAAAAGTTGACTGTACAATTTTTGATTGCTTCGATTCCAGAGTTTCCAAATTACATATAACTTAAAGCTATATGCTATTGGGAATTTAATTTCTTACAAAAAGTGTTTTCCTAAGCTACAAACTGATTCAGTCCAAGCTTCCACCTGGTCTATGAAAGTTCTTATTCATCCTCACTGAAGATGTGAATTAAAGTTATAGTTTGTCAATATCTTAAACTCGTATGAGAGACAATCATTTTATTTAACTGGTTTTCAGCATGCATGTGCTTGACCTAGATAAAGAGATCTAGCCCTCTCGTAAATGGATAAAACAAGGGCATAATAAATAAATTATTCTCTCTGTAATGGCAGTTTAGTTGGTGTTTCACGCTCTTGTCCCATTTTCAAGGTTCATTTATTTACCTTATATGAGTAGTTGAATAATAAAGATTTTGGTACAAGATGCATTTTTAGCAGAATTGCTGGGCTGCTATCTTGAATAAGAAGTAAAAACTAAAAAGTTACATTCGACAAAAATAATTCGCACCTGATCAACCTCATCAAATTGAATGAGAATTTTCTGAAGTTAAGTTGGAGAAGAATTACGTAGTTATCATGTCTTCCACTTGTGACATCGTGCTCCTGAATGGTTTGCCTTCAATTTACTAATTTAAGTGGAGCATGAAAAGTCAATATGTGCATAAAATTATCTATTTCATTTCATTCATGATAAAAAACCATACTTATGAGCAGTTGCTTTATGACCTCCAAAAATATGGGTATTTGAGTCTTCTTTAATTGGATAATTCATCGGTGATAATTTTTCCAGGATGCCAATGAGGAATCAAAATCAGTTACAAAAGCATCTGCCATGAAAGGTGAATGTTTCATCTTTTATATTGCCTTCTAATGACTTTCATCTTTTATATTGTATCCTTATTAACTGTATGAACTACAAACTGAGAAAGGTTCAGTGGCCTTAGAAACTTCTCTGTCGATCAGATTTCTTTGGCCTCTAATAGCCCCTTTGGACCCCTTGAAAAACTAATAAATAAATAAATACATATATATACACATGCCATGTGTACGATATATTAAAATTAAAACACATATATGCCTCATGCGTACAACATACTTATATGTATAATTTAAGTGCTTTATTAGCAGCAGCAATGACAATAAGCCTTGTTCTCATTAAATTTCGGGTAGACTATACATGAATCATTTTTCACGACTCCTTTCAGTTCAAACAAGTGCCTTAATTATCATTTTTAACTAATAAGAGGATTTCATGTTTATTGCACTAATTTCTTAGTAGAATTAATCTGTTGAAGTAACTGTTATTGTATGCAATTCTCGTTTTCAGCTATCAGGAAGCGTATGGAGAAAGATGTTGATGAAGTGGGAAAGATAGCACGGAATGTGAAAGCAAAAATTGAAGCAATAAATAAAGATGTATCACTCTTAAAAATTGTTATTGAAATTTCTTCCGGCATTTTCTTCATAATCTTATGCAATATTAGTAGTATAAACTGATTTGTATTGCCTCGTCAGAACTTAGCCAATCGACAGAAGCCCGGGTGTGAAAAAGGGACAGCTGTTGATAGGTCAAGGATGAACATGACAAAGTGCGTTATGGTGGAGAATACAAGTATCTGTTACACAGCTTCTTTATTTTTGGTTTAGAAGTAATTTAATCATATTTTTCTTTGTTCCAGTTCCTTGACGAAAAAGTTTAAAGAACTGATGATAGCATTTCAGGTGTTGTCTCATTTCACATTGACAATAGTTTTGCAACTGTTGCCCCACTTATTGGAAGTATCTCACAAATTATTCTGTTTTCTTCTGACAGACCTTGAGACAGAAGATAGACGAGGAATATCGTGAGGTGGTGGAAAGAAGGGTGATCACAGGTTTGAATGATCAGATGTGCATTAGACCAGAATTCGTTTCTTCTTTTTCATTTTTTGACTTTTTTATTTGCGTTCAATTTTGTCAACTAACTTTTGCTGTAAATTTTCCTGGTTGACAGTCACTGGAAGTAGACCAGATGAAGAGGTGAGTCTATTTTCTGTTTGTAATATTTGAGTTCTAGAGAACATAGATGATATCATAATAGCTGAATCCGCCATTGACAGACAATCAACAACCTTATTGAAACTGGAAACAGTGAACAAATATTCCAGAAGGCTATCCAAGAAACAGGACGCGGGGAGGTAATATTTCTGCTCTATTTTAAGTTTTATGTATCTTTTTTCTAATCCCTCAATTCGAATTTACAAATTGCACGACTGAAATTACTGTTGGATAATTTAATGCTTTAAATTACTGGATCTTTCATGTTAAATCATTGAGAAATATAAGAATTAAAGCGGAAGCATACCTGAATCTGACATGGTTAATGCAATATGGATTTCGCGGTATGATCTTCCAAATCTACACGCAGTCTCCTTTTCCTCTATGTAATGAGATGCAGTAGAGAATGAATAATTCGTTGCGTGTGATCTGGGGACCATAACCTATTTATATGAGGATGCCCTTTGACCTAATTCGGCCCATCATAGAATTAGGACTTGGGCCCGGTCTCTACACATATGTAAACCCATACTTTAATTGGATACATTAAAGCCCAAAATCAAAACTTTATTAGATCACTTTAATCGGACTCGACCGAATTCGATAGCCTATAATTTAACACACAATTATTTACACATACAAGTCCATCTTTAATTAAAAATCTTTATAATCTCCCACTTGGGCTATATGTGTCACCTTATAATTGTGCATTAAACATAACCTTATGAGTACTCAGAATTTTGCTATCATTACCGAATGTATCCCCAAACAATCCCGTCCATCAATCATATCAACATAGGATCAAAGCGGCTTTCGCTACTTTCACGTAGCTAAACCCATCAATGGTCACGTATATCAATATAACCGAATGACATGGATCAAGCATGGATGTGTAGCATGGAAATTACATGTAATGTGATCTGTAACATGCCTATTTCCAACTGGTCCACCTTAATACCTTAGTGAGATTATTTTAAACAAGTTCAGAGATAATTAACCAAATAACTTTATAACTGAAAATAACTTTAACTTTAAATCGTATCAAAAATAATAGTACATGTGTCCAATATGAAAAGCAAAAATGCAAACTCCCACTGAAACTAGATATCCTCAAGAGACATTACACCCATATGAGCAGTGTGCTCATGAAAGACCTTGGGTATCAATCCCTTAGTAAGCGGATTCGCAATCATGGAGTTTGTCTCAATATGCTCTATTGACACCTGTCTACTCTGAACTCTTTCTTTAACAGCAAGGAACTTGATCTCTATGTGTTTTGACTTTGTCGAGCTCCTGTTGTTATTGGAATACAACACTGCTGATTTATTGTCACAAAATATCTTAGGTGGTCTTTCTATATTGTCCACAATGCGCAGCCCAGTGACAAAATTACGCAGCCATATTCCATGATTTGATGCCTCATAACACGCTATAAACTCCGCTGCCATGGTGGAAGTAGCTATGAGTGTCTGCTTAGCACTCCTCCATGAAATAGCACCTCCAGCAAGCAGGTAAATATAGTCTGAAGTGGATCTCCTACTATCCCGCGAAATCGGAATCAGAATAACCGATGATCTCCAACTGATCCGATCTCCTGTATGTGAGCATGTAGTCTTTTGTTCTCTGTAAATACCGCATGACTCGTTTGGCTGCTTTCCAATGATCCATTCCCGGGTTACTTAAATATCTCCCTAGCATCCCAACGATGTACGCTATATCCGGACACGTACAAACCTGAGCATATATCAGACTCTCTATAGCTGAGAAATAAGGAATCTTCTGTATTTCTTTAATTTTCAAGTCATTTTTAGGGCACTGACTTAAGCTGAACTTGTCATCTTTAGCCACAGGGGTGTCACATAGTTTACAATCTTGCATGCCATATCTTTTAAGTACTTTTTCGATATAGCTCTTTTGTGATAATCCAAGAATACCTTGAGAACGATCTCGGTGTATCTGAATTCCTAATACAAAAGAGGTATCACCAAGATCTTTCATCTCAAAATTCTTTGTCAGAAATATCTTGGTTTCGTGCAATAAGCCTATATCGTTGCCGGCAAGCAATATGTCATCGACATATAAAACCAGAAAAATATACTTGCTCTCACTGAACTTGTGGTATATACAATCATCAACCAAATTCATCTCAAAACCAAATGAGATGATCACCTGATGAAACTTGTAATACCATTGACGAGATGCCTGTTTGAGTCCATAGATAGATTTCTTTAATTTACAAACCATTTGTTTTGCATCGTCCGATACAAAGTTTTCTGGTTGTACCATATAAATTGTTTCATCAATGTCACCATTGAGAAATGCTGTCTTAACATCCATCTGATGTAGCTCAAGATCGAAATGCGCTACCAATGCCATTATAGTCCTGAAAGAATCTTTCGAAGAAATCGGAGAGAAAGTCTCTTTATAATCGATGCTTTCTTTCTGTGTAAAGCCCTTTGCGACAAGACGAGCATTATACCTCTCTACATCACCTTTCGAATCCCTCTTGGTCTTAAATATCCATTTGCAACCAATGGGTTTCGCACCTTCAGGCAATGGAACGAGGTCCCATACGTCATTGTCCTTCATGGACTTTATCTCTTCATTCATAGCTTCGAGCCACTTTTGAGAGTAAGAACTTTCCATGGCTTGACGGAAGTTGATCGGATCATCTTCCACCATTCCAATGTCAACTTCATGTTCTTGAAGAAATACGATGTCATCATTCGAAACCGCACTTCTCCTTTCTCTAGTGAATCTTCTTAATAACATTGGTTCTTGAGGGTGTAGAGTTTGTTCTTCTCGAACAATTTGTTGATCTTGAGAGGGAGGTATGACATTGTCTTGATCCAGAGTTGCTTCTTGAACAATATCAGGGATAGAAATCTGATCATTGTCAATGACAATTGGAGGAATTTCAACATATTCCTCCTCAAAGACAAAGCCTGTAACCCTTTCTCCCCCCGCAAACTCAACATCCTCAAAGAACCTAGCATTTCCTGTCTCGAAAATTGTCTTAGTTGTGGGATCATAAAACTTGTAACCCTTGGACCTTTCAGAATATCCAATGAAATAGCAACTGATGGTCCTTGCGTCCAGTTTCTTTTCATTTGACTTATAGGGCCTTGCCTCAGCTGGACACCCCCAAATATGTATATGCTTCAAACTAGGCTTCTTGCCCGTCCAAAGCTCATATGGGGTTTTATCAGTAGCCTTAGTTGGAACTCTGTTGAGTATATAAGCTGCAGTCTTTAATGCTTCACCCCAAAGAGATTCTGGTAAGGTAGAATGACTAATCATAATCCTCACCATGTCCTTAAGCGTTCTGTTTCGTCTTTCAACAACACCATTCATAGTGGGCGAACCCGGCATAGTGTATTGTGGGACGATACCGCATTCCTCTAGGAATTTAGCAAACGGTCATGGACGTTGTTCACCTGAACCGTCACATCTGTCATAGTATTCACCCCCACGGTCAGATCTGACGCTTTTAATCCTTTTGTCGAGTTGGTTCTCAACTTCAGCTTTATAATTTTTGAACACATCCAGTGACTGTAATTTTTCATGAATGAGATATATGTAGCCATATCTTGAAAAGTCGTCTATGAACGTTATAAAATATTGTTGACCATTCCAAGAACCCGTAGGGAATGGTCCACAAATATCTGTATGTATAAGTTCTAAGACGTCCGAAGTCCTATTGGCTTGAAATCTCCTTTTGTTGGTTTGTTTTCCCTTTATACAGTTGACACACAAATCATAGTCTGTGAAGTCAAGAGGGTCGAGAATCCCGTCAGACACAAGTCTCTCAATTCTCCTTTTGGAGATGTGACCTAATCTCTTGTGCCACAACGAGGCAGAATTCTCGTCGTTTAATTTTCGCTTTACACCTCGAGTACTTACATGTAAGGTTTCATTATAAGAAGCAATTGTATCAATTGAATAAAGATTATCGTAACCTGATAAAGAACCGGAACCAACCAATTTTGAATCATGAAACAAACTAAATTTTCCATTTTCAAGAGAACAAGTATAACCAAATTTGTCCAAAACAGAAATAGAATTCAAATTCCGTCTAAAAGACGGTACAATAAATGTCTCAACAAGATCCAAATAGAATCCAGTCTTTAACAATAATCTAAATTTTCCTATTGCCTCTACTTCCATTCTATTGCCGTCGCCAGCATAGATGTATCTTTCACCATCACTTGGTTTTCGGCAACTCAGGCAACCCTGCATAGACATACTGATGTGAGTTGTTGCACCAGAATTTATCCACCATGTATGTCTAGGTACCGAAGTTAAATTAACCTCAGAACAAACCAAATGAAGAAGAGTACCTTTCTTTACACGCCATGCGTGGTAATTGGTGCAATTCTTCTTCTTATGACCTGCAGCTCCACAGAAGAAACAACCGCCTTCAGTTGGTTCCTTATGCTGTTTCTTTTGCGGTGCCGTACCTGCAGCTTCCTTATTAATCTTCCTTTTCTTGTTGCTTTTATCCTTAGAGGTGGTGGCTAAATGAGCACTTTCTGTCTTTTCATGCTTCAGTCTTTCCTCTTCCTGGACACAATGTGAGATGAGCTCATTAAGGGATCAGGAGTCCTTTTGACATTTATAGCTCACCTTGAATTGACTGAAATGTGCCGGAAGGGATATCAGAACCAAGTGCACTAACAAGTCTTCAGATAAATCCAACTTGAGTGCCTTTAGTTTTGAAGCAATGTGAGACATTTCCATAATGTACTCCTGAATGTTTCATTTCCCTTTATACCTTATTGAGACAAGATTTGCCAAAAGTGTACTTGTTTCAGCCTTTTCATTCTTGGCAAACCTCTTCTCAAGGTCCTCAAGGAAACCCTTAGCCGTAGTCACCTTATCAGACATAGTGCCCCGGAATGCTT